AGCTGTCCTGGAACTCACTACGTAGACCAGGCTGGCCTCGAACTCACAGAGCTCTGGGTGCCTCTGCCTCTCGAGAGCTGGGATTAATGGCATGCGTTAGCGTGCCAGGCTTATATGTCACTTTTTATTCATGTAAGTGTTGACGGAGGTCTCCCCCGTGCCTTTCACCACTGTAAATGAACCTGAGTATTCACATAAGGGACTTTCCACAGACCTCTGCTTCTTATGTCTTTGCCCAGCTTTCCCGTGGCGATTCATAAAATAATCCATTTTTATTTTTAATATTTTTTTATAATTGTTTGCATTCTGGTTGACCATGTGGTAATTCACCTGCTGTCAGTTTTCATTAATCATTCATCTTTCTTGTACAATGTGAGGAATGTTGTTGAGTTCATTGAACTGAGGTTTCGTCAGATGGTCACCATGGGCTTGGTTGTTCCCCTCAGCTAATCCTAGTTACTTTTGTCCTATTTGCTTCCACGTCATAGCATGAGAATTCTTTGGAACTTTATTGCAATGACCGCTTAGGCAAACACATAATGTGTTGTTTTTCCACAGGCTCCATAAACCTCCTCAATGTTCATTAGCTTTCGCACAGAGGTCTTGGTTCTTAAAAATTAACGCTTTGAGATTTTCATAAACGTATTGTTAACGTATCCCCTGATCTCCACGAACTTCCAGTCCCACCCCTCCTGAAAACCCACTGCCCCTGAGTTTCTTTTTAAGCACTGATTCCCATTTGTGGAGCCCAAAAAGCCTTGGAGTATTGAATCACCCCTGGAGGCCTTTCCTTCTCCAATTTACAGTTGAAAAACAGAGGTATGGTAATAAACGCAGAGATGGACGGTCACGAACACAGAGACGTGCATCAGAGGAGTAACACTGAGAACACAGATTTTTAAAATTTTATTTATTATTTTTATTTTATATGTATGCACGTGTTGCCTGCGTGTAGGTAAGAGCACCCGTGCTGTGCAATGCCCGCGGAGGACAGAAGACGCTGCCGGATTAGGTTGGAGGGTGATAGATTGTTTGGATTCAAAAGTCTTTAGAGTCTCGCCCCCCCCCCCTGCCAACAGTCATTATTAAAAAAAAAAAAAAAAAAAAAAAAAAAATCAGGCTTTTAAAAGCAATATTTGAGTCAGACTGACTGTCTAGTAGCGCTGAGATACCACTCACTATATCAAAACAACTCTCACATGCCTTTTATATTTTTCTAAATAGCGACCACTGGAAAACGTTCCTGTCTGGTTTTTCTCCCCCCATGACACGTCAAGACTAAAGGACAGGCCCGTCTCACTAAGAGCATTCCCTGCTGGAGACTTTGATCCCACCTCCCTGTTCTTCTTCCTTAAAGACCAGAAGGACGGGGTTTAGTTACCTTTGTGCTGCTGTCACAGAGCACAGTGAGCAAGGCCATTTCAGGAAGGAAGGGTTTGGGGGGGGGATTGCAGTGCATCGTGGCGGGGACGCATGGCCAGAGGCAGCCGGGTCAGGAGGCTGAGGGCTGACATGTTCCAACCATCACAGCATGAGGGGACACATTGGAAACCTTGCAGAGAAACAGTTCTGCTCCCCGAGGTGCTTCCCCTCAGGGCCAAGTCGCTGCCTCTGCAAACAGTACCAGAATGGGGACCAAATGGGGAAATCCTGGGAGGTCTCGGTAGACATGAGCATTCAAACTCAGACAGGAAGAATCCTCCTGGACTATTCGTGTCACTGGTGTCACTGTAGCGGATTCTAACGCCTTATGACAGGGATAAATTCTTTGTGAACTTTGACCCAGTCTAACTGGCTGTGCTGGCCTTAAAGCACATAAACCCCACGACTCTGTGTGTTGATGTTGCTTAGCGTCCGTGCAATACTGGAGGAAAACTGTGCTGCATTTGAGGACACGGCTGTTATTTAGAAATGACTCTCGTGATGGACATTTGCTGGAAGTCACTCTGTCGGTGTTCTGCACCAACTGTCACGGAGATCAAAGGACCAGGAAGGCCACACGTACCTCTCTGCAACTGTCCTGGCCGCACCGTGCCAGCAATGGTTTTATCAGGAGTGTTTGGACACCCGCCTTTGTTATCTCCTTCTGCAAACATGCCGGCAGAACGAGATTCCCCTTCCAAGAGTTTAGACATGTAAACATCTGACCGGGTAATCCTGACACTGCAATTAGATTCTGCAAATATTGGATGAGCTAAGATATGTCAGGGAGACATTGAAGGCCTGTGAAAAGCAAAAGGACTTTGAGCAGCAGCTCTTCAGAGCACACACACAAATAAAGTTTGGGTTCTCCAAACTAACGCCCGAATCCTTCTTCTTAACTGTCTGATCACCAAGACAGAATCCACACCCAGGACGACGTTCAACTACACAGTAAATACCGAGCTCAGCATGTGAGGTCAAAGCTATTAGAAGGGACAGCAAAGTCAGTGTCTGTCTGGGCTTTCTTGTGACTTGAGCCTCTCATATTCTACTTAAACGCTCCTT